AGAGGGGCCCCACCTTAACGGCTGTCACACGATGAGAAAGCACGTGTGTTTTGTAGAGCGGAGTCATAGAGTGGGCTACAGCGTATTCACACATGTGTTCTGTGAAATTTTATAAGCGTGAAAAAAAGTGTACGTGTTGGCCTATGGGTATATAAATAAAGTGAAGGGAAACGAGACAGAGGTGGACCCAGAGCAACTTAGTGGTAGAAACTAAACAGATGGGTGACGTGGAAAGATCCAGAAAATAATAATAATAATAATAATAATAATAGTAATAATAGTAATGATGATGATGATGATGATGATGATGATGATGATGATGATAACAATTAAATTAATAATATAGCTTTTATTTTTTTAGAGTATCCAAGCAAAGGAATGAATGGCGAACCACGATCACCAATGTCTGCTGCAGACATTATATTGTGTTAACGCCCCTTTCAACACTATTAGGGGGCTCTCGTGCCCCAGAGGTTAAGCCTGGAACAAACTGCCAGGTGGGCAGGAGGGGGCGAAAAATATTCGTGTCCGAACCAAGGCTCGAACTCAGACTTTTCACTTCGGAGACGAGTGCAACCAGTTAGAGGTACTTACGTATAATCAAAGATGTATAATTACAATACTATTTGTAGTGTATGCAAAGATCGTACATGGTGTATACCAACTAGGTCTGTTTTACTCATACCTGGATACTATGAGTAATATGGGTCAATGGGGCAGGAGGCGGACGGTCTGATCACATCCAGCCGGAAACTGAGACTAAGACAGGGGTCACAAAGGACATTGAAATTATGATAGGGGGCTCTCGTGGCCTAGAGAAAGATCAAGATCTTGCCTACTCGGACAAGGGCGAAAATATCTGAGGTTCCGTGTGCAAGTTGCGCTTATTAAAGATCCATTGATGGTCCAAAATCGAGAAGAGTAGGCTTCGGCCGCCAACCGGGCAAAATTCAAAATTTACTACCAACTGAAAATCTTAGGTGTGTCCCGCACGTTCATATGACCTTATGCAGTTGCGAGCGCCGTAAAACACTTACAAAGAGAAAAGAAAAAAGAAATAATGATATCAAGGCCACACTCTCAGGACCGGAGTACAATAATAGTACGTGCATGCCTGTAAGTAGATCAAGGCGAAGAATCGAATCCGGAACCAAGTCCCGCGGTTTGTGCTGCAGAGGAAAAGAGGTCACCAATCACTATATTATTATTTTATTTATTAGAATGTTCTTCTTTTTTGAAAATTTATTTTTGAAAAGAAAAATGTTGAGCCGAGCCCTGTTTCGAAATCGAGGTTGTCCTGGATCCTGACGCTGCTTGAAACCGACCAGGTAACCGGAACCAAAGATCGTACATAACAAGCAAGTTCCCTCAGCCCAAAAAAGTGTCCGCAGAAGTCCGCGCATTGCTTCAGATTGCACTGCAGTCTTTGTTTTGAAGCTCTTTTTCATTTCTCTAGAAGAAAAATATGAATAGCACAGTTTGTTAGTTTCGCTTTTATTGTTTTTCACACAAGTAGAGTAACTCTGTTCGCAAATTCCGCACTTTTTCGAAGAGGGCGCCACCGAACTTTGAGGACCCTTTTTTTAACCCTATCCAACGCCTTGGGGTCATTTTAGAATCCTTTTAGTACGAAGATCTATTTGAAACTTTCAGTATTTCTCAAAAATCGTTTTGACAGACTGCTATGCAAAGCGTACGGATCGGATTATCGAGTAAATTTCCTCTTTGGAAAGTGGTGGCACAGAGTTCCTACGTCGCGTGGATACGATATTAAAACACAACGTACGGATAGGATTAATTGGCTCAAAGAAAGGAGTGAATTATCTTGTTATTCACGATCTTTGCCAGAACTGGCTTTGTGTTTGGATTCATCGGAAGTAAATCATTACTACTCGCAGGAAGTAATCATGTAATTGTCTAGGTTTCGGGACAACATGGAAGAAATCATGGACACCGGGAAGAAATCATGGACACCGGGAAGAAATCATGGACACCGGGAAGAAATCATGGACACCGGGAAGAAATCATGGACACCGGGAAGAAATCACAACAGTGGAAAGAAATTGGGTTCGGACTCCATACGTTCTATTCCTAGTTTGCAATAATTGGGAACCGCCCACCACAAGTGGTTATGCGCTTCGGATGTGCTTTTGTTTTTGTAAAGTGTTTTACGGCGCTCGCAACTGCATAAGGTCATATGAGCGCGCGGGACACACCTAAGAATTTCTGTTGGTAGGAAATTTTGAATTTTACCCGGGTGGCGGCCGAAGTCTACTCTTATCGATTTTAGACCACCAAGAGATCTTTAACGTGCGCAACTTGCACACGGGCCCTCCGAGATTTTTCGCCCTTGTCCGAGAAGGCTAGGTGTAGATCTTTTCGGATGTGCGCAGAGGGCCTGGTTTCGATTCCTGTGTAAGGGAGCAACGTTATTTAGGCCATTCCCAAAGGGGAGATACTAACACGTTCTTATGCACAGTAGAATTGTAAATGGGCTGATTTATCAATGTCATACTCATACAATGCAGGAGTAACAAAGGAAGAACTGCTGCTTTTTCTTTCCTCATCCTCACTATCGTTCTTTTTCCCCTACTTCTTTTGCATGTTTGTCCCTCTATTGTAAACTTCTATTTCCGGGGTGCCTTGATAGTCGAAGAAGACTTTATGCTATGGCACCGTAAAACCTTACTAAAACAGAAGTTTCTCGGTCTTTTTGCTGGGACGTTTTATCCTTCTCATCCCAAGTTTTCCCTGACAGGCAAAGTCGAAGCCCACCTCCTAAATCATCTAAATTTTGGCGACATGGATGTCTTTCTCACCCTGGGTCAGGATATAGGCCACGACCAAGCACTTTCCACCTTTAACTATCCTGGGCTAGTCGTTTGATGTCACTTCATGTCTCCCCACTTCATTTCCGTGACCACTCTCCAGGTTCCACGTGATCTTCTCCTTGATCTTTTTACCCTGTGGGTTCCCATCAAACATTTTCCGTGTTATGCAGCTGCTCGACTTCCTGCGCGTGTGTCCGATCCATCGCCAACGCCTTCTTCCCACCTCATCTCTGACTGCACTCTATCTCGTTTTTCTTACTACTTCCTCGTTGGTGATCCTGTCTGTACATCTAATTCTCAATAACTTTCTTAAACACTTGTTCAAGAAAACCTGGATCCTCTTTATGCAGGTAAAACACCTACTTACACTAAACACTTTCAATGTCTGAATTGACAAAAGATGAAACAACACAAAGCGGATATCCGACCCTTAATGAGTACATCGACAGTTCGACAGTCGACAGTTAGCATAATAATTTTCCCTGTACTCTTTTGAACTGCTTACAAACATATTCATTGTAGAAAAGAGGTCTATAAAACTCAAAGAGCGCTGTGTGTAAAGATAGACTACATTACATGTAATTGTATAGTGCTTTTCCATTAGGAAAGTGCTCAATACGCATTTACAGTAGGGTAGTAATAATACAAAGAACATAGCTCCTTTAGTTTTCCTTTCCCTCCCCCTGTCTGTGTGTCTGTCTGTCTGTCTGTCTGTCTGTCTGTCTGTCTGTCTGTCTGTCTGTCTGTCTGTCTGTCTGTCTGTCTGTTTT